ACGGGAAAAGTTTGAGGACATTTGGGAAATTCAATCGAGTGTGCGAGATGAGTATCTTAAGAAAATGAAGAACCATATACCGTTAGTTATACGGAGCGTGACACGATTATCGAGAATATATGCTAATTGGGATAAGTTTTATGAACATGTGCAAAAATTTGGATGCATAATCCAAGCAATTCCGCCTGATTCCGAATCGATTCAACTTTCTTTGTTTATCCCAGCGAAAGTGACCAAAAAGGGACCTAAATGGTTGGGTAGCGCCAATAGAATAAACTTAGGTATCATTTTATATATTTATACATTTATCAAACATGAAATATTTTCTACTTTTTTAACATAATTATGAGTTTACAAATGAAAATAAAATAAATTTTTTATTATGATATAAAAATAGTCAGTATATGAAAATCAAGTTTTTTTTAAAAAAACGTAATATTAACGGAAATAGATTTCAAAAATTTAATTCATGAATAAAATAATGAATAAAATTAATGAATAAAAAAATATTCTTTTGTGATTTATAAATGTCTTATTTTATTAACAGAATCGATATATGGTACAACTATTTATATGTTACCTCAAACTTCTGTGGACATTTCAAATTTACAACCAATAGTGAACAAATTTGCTAAAGATATACAAAATAGAGGATACTTTGGTTATTTAAGTGTCGATTGTTATTGCTATATGCATAAGCAAGAGGAGAGATTAATCATATTAATATTAAACGTATTTCCTTATTATACCCCTTTGCAAAGTTATATCGAGTGGATGAAATTTGCAATTAATGGATGGTATAAGTAAGTAAAATAAATCGATTTAAAAAATCTTTTTTTAAATTAAAAAATATTTATATCTGTAATTTTTAATCAATAATTTTTTTGAAAGGATTTGTTAAAATTTATTTATTTAATAATTTCATTATATTCAATAAAAATAAATTTTATTGTGCAATTTTTAATATTATCTTTTCTAAAGTGTTCTTTTGAAAGAATTTTTTAAATTCCATTTTATATTTAAATAGTGTTGACAAAGATAATTTTATCAGCGATATTGCAATAGCTTCGCAAATGGAAAAAAGAAAATCATCTCTCTTATTAACAAATAAAACAGTGGAATGGGATGAAACTGTAGAAAGATTTGCAGTTGCAATTACTCAACTACATCATAGTAGATTTTCCAATTATAAATGGCATAATCTCAAAAGTTTATTCGAATCATGTGATGTACGTTTATTTACTATTTTTTTTTTTATGCAATACATTTCACTTCTTTTTATCCATCATAATATTTTTTTTTTTAATTTAAAAAATTCATTTTCGAGTTACAGATTTTTTATGATAGAGTAAAAAAACAAGGGTGTAACATACTTCTACACGATGGAGAAATTCGAAGTCTTGCTCAGATGGTCGCTGTTAGTCCTGCTATGAGCAATACATTGAAAATGATACATAAATGTTTGGAAAAATTGCATATAACTTTGTTAATGAAAACGAAGCATAAGCCAGAAACAAATTTACCAATTCTTAGTGACTACTTCTTAAAACTTTCACTCAGCTATAGTGATTATATTACCGACAAATGTCTAAATTTGTCGTAAATTATCATGAATTATCCATCAATATATATATTATTATTTTTTTATTGATAATATAGAATATAATAGATTTTTGGCTTTGAATATTTATTTTGTAATTCATTCAATTCATTAAATTTTGTTTCTTTATTATTTATATCATACATAATAATTTATTCATATAGTGATTAATATGATTATTCATCTTATTATAATAATTAAAAGTACTCATTACTTCATATTTAAGATTTACATATATAAACAGACAGACTATAGATTTATGAATCATTAAATGTTGCTAAATTCTCACATATGAATCGTAAAACAATAAATTAGTTTGAAATAATATATTTCATCAAATTTTAACAAAGATTATGCATTTGTTATCAGTAAATTCTCATAATTTAATGATAAACGATGATTCAGTATTATTATTGGTTCATAAGGATCAAAAATTGCCTATTTATGTTAACTTCATTATTGGTGGACTATCAGGGTAAAATGTTCAATATTTTTTATATTTTATATTTTTTTGTTGATATTTGAAGATTTAAATTTAATTTTTTATTTTAAAATTTTAATAAGAATTTTTATATTTATATTATATTATATTTATAATTAATAAAATATATTAGAACAATTCATTTTCTAATTTATATTTAATATAAATATAAAATATAAAAATATAACAAATATAAAAATTCTTTTCATTTAAAATTAATTTAAAATTTTTTAAAAATTTTAAATATGAAAAGTTTTCTATCTTTAATTTCTTTAATTCTATTTATCTTTAATTTTTTAATTCTGACCTTTTATTTTCACATGTCATGCAGTGTCATATCACAAACTTCAGTGTATCCTATGGATTTAGCCAAATTACGTATGCAAATTACACGTACATCTTTGCAAGAGACAATAAAACAGACTTTAAAGGAAGTTGGAATTCGGGGATTTTATGTTGGTTGGACTGCAGCTATTCTTCGACAATTAACATATAGCACTGCAAGGCTTGGCTGCTATACTACATTATATGATTTAGCCCAGTAAATATATTATGTCTAATTTAATTAATTAATCCTATATTAATCCTTAATAAAGTAATTTGATTTTTTAGAAAATATTTTTTTTCATATTTTTTTTAAATATTAATTATATATATTTATATAAATCATTTATCATATATAATAATTCATCGTAATTGTAAATATTATAAGATTACGAATTAATTAAAGAAAACTAAAATTTGAAATTTAGGGGTTATTTTGGTCGTTTAAATTATGCTACAATGCTCGGTATTGGAATGCTGTCTGGTACTGTTGGTGCATTTGTTGGGACACCGTCCGATTTGATTTTAGTTCGTATGGTAGGTGACCTACAATTACCTCCTGGTGAGTATTTTTCTTAAATTAAGTAATAAGTTTCATCCTTGTTTTCTAAAGAATATATGAAAATTTTATTTATGCAAAGTATCTATGTAAATAAACTATAATAATAATTATTATAAGTAACATAAACAAAATTTCAATTAAAGAGAGTTGAGAAAAAAATTAAAAAGAATCTTTTAAATGTTATATGAAATAATTCATATTCAATTTAATATTATAAGATAAATAATTTATAGAATTTTCAAATCTACATTAATATTTTTTTCATGAATAGATATATAGGTATATAGATTATGTAAATTCTATTAATTAGGAAAAAAGAAAAGAAAAAAAAAAATTTTCAATCATATATTGCTATAGAAAATACTTGTTTTTTATGATATTTTATTGAATTAATTAATATAATAATGAAAAAAGAATAAGATATTAAAATAATACAAATAAATAAATATTTTTTGACGAAGTTTGATCTTCTTTTTTTTTTTGATTAAAAAATATTGAAAAAACATAAATTAAAGAATGAATTTTTAGAGAAACGACGGAATTACAGAAATGCTTTCGCCGGATTAATTACTATTTATAAAACGGAGGGTATTGGTAGATTATGGAGAGGAGCTGTACCAACGATGACTAGAGGGGCACTTGTGAATGGAACTCAATTGGGCACCTACAGTAGAGCGAAAGTATCATTACTAGATACTGGTATATGAATTATAATAGCTTATCAATTTTAGAAAAATATCTTATCAATCGAATAGATTTGCAAAATAATTAATTTATTACTTATTTAATTAATTTTTGAAAATTAATTTTTTTAAGTTTTAATTTAAAGCTTAAAAAATTTTTAAAGATTGAAAATTAAATTAAATAAATTAATGTAATAAAGTATTATTTTTATTTCTTTTATTTATAAAAAATGATTTATTAATTTTTAATGAATGATTACAAAAAGTTTAAATTATTAGAATTAATTTTCATAATTCGTATAATTCAATTATAAAAAAACAAAATTAATTATATATATATATATATATATATATATATATTTATATAATTACGTGTAATATTAATAACTATAGGTCTCTTTGAAGAAGGTTTATGGTTGTCATTTGTCGCATCAATGATCTCTGGAACAGTGATGTGTTTAGCATCACTTCCTGTGGATGTAGTTAAAACTAAGTAATTCTTAGAATTTTATTATATTTTAATAATTATTATATTTATTTATTGATAAAAAATATTCTTGTTTTTTATTCGTTACAGAGTACAAAATTGGGCTTTACCTACAAAACCACCAAGCTTACCTCGGATGTTAGTCATAACAATGAAAGAGGAAGGAATATTTGCACTGTACCGTGGATGGTTTCCATATTATATTAGATCAGCTCCTTATGCCGTGATTACTATGATATGCCTTGAACAGTTTAAATACGCATATAATATGTTCTTTGTAAGAGACGATTAGATTTCGAATTTTATTTTGATAAATAATATCGCAAAAAAGATTATGAATAACGCGTGCTAAAAAAAAGATTTTATTCTATTATTTTCCCCTTTAATTACATGTTTCGTTGTTTACAATCTAAATAGAATAATACTTTGATAATAATTAATAGAATAATTTAATGTAATAATGAATATAGGATTCTTTGATTTTGTAATTTTGTAGAAATATATTAATATTATAATTTTGTTTATAACACAAAATATAATATTACAATATGATTTGCAAATAAACTATAATCTTAAATTGAAACATTAACCATTATATCTTTAATAGTTTATATAATTATATGATATAAAAAATATGATAATGATAATAATAGTAAAATATTAGATAATATTTTATTATAATATAAAGTGATAAATTAATAATAAATAAATATGTAAATTAATAAATTAAAATTATTTTTCAATTTAAAAGTTTTTCTTTTTTATGTGAGTATAAATAAGAACACAAATATTTAATTCAATTAAATTTTTTTTATCAAAAAATTAACATATATATATATACGTACACAAATATTAATATTTATCTACATAAAATACCATCTATATAAATTTGCTATTTGTTCATTAATTATAAATGTTAAAACAGTATGTGGACCTATTTTGCAATAGGTAGGCCAGAAACCTTTCCAAAGTGCAAAAAATCCTTCAGTCTTCGTTATCGTTATCAACATTGTTATCAAACCAGGTGGTTTTGCTACACCTTTTAAGGTTTGTATTCTGAAAATATGACATAAACGATGTGTATTAATGAAACGATGCTAAATTTCTTTAATTAATTTTAAATTAAAGATGTAATTATAATATTTCATAATCAAAAGAATAATAAGAGATGTAAATCATCAATTATAATAAATAAATTTTATATAAAGAAATTTTTGGCCATCGAATTAAAATTATATAAAAAAATTTTATTCTTTTATATCTATTAATTATAAATATGAATATGAAATATGAATATAATGAAAAATATAATATTTGAAAAATATAAATATTCATAAGTTTTAAGTCATATTATAAAGAATTATTAACATAATTCATAAATATAAAAATCAATATCATTTTACCTTGTTTTAGCTATATCAAATGGCATAGAATTGAAGGTAGTAAGGAATCCAGACAACATTGATGCAAAAAAATGTAATTCAACACTTTCCGGGATATCCACTGTATAAAAAATGTATATAATATTTCTATTTATATTAATTCATTTATATGTAATATATTTGATATATTTTCTTTTAGAAAAAAGAAATAATAAATGAGAAAATTAAGAAATTCATAATAACATTTTGTCGCTATTAAAAATTTTGCTTGACTGTATGTTGCAAGCTGAGAGATATTAACAATCACTGCTCGACCCATTGTTGCTACGCTTCCTCTCCAAAGAGTGGTAATTCCTTCTTCCTTAGCTATCCTCGCGAATGCGTTAAATACATTTTTGTAATTTCTTCTCTGTTCTATAAAAACAGAATATATACAATTTAACAAATTAAACAATTTACTGAATTGAATAAAATTAATTAGTTTGTATGTTTTTTTTGTTACGTACCAAAAAAATATGAATAATTTATTGAATGAACATATTATTTATTTCAATCTTTTAAAAGTATTTATCAATTATTAGATATATGATTTATCTTTTTCTCAAAATTATTTAATATTAAAAAGATTTAATGATGATTAAGAAAATATTGAAGATAGAAAAAAAATTTTTAGGAAAAAAATATAGATATTTAATTATATGAAATAATTCCAATATGTAATAAAAATGATGTATAATTAAATAATTTAAATAACCTTTTGGCAATCTACCATCGGAAGTCATTCTTACGAGAACAACTTCTGCTGGTGTACCAATAAAGGCTCCCGAAGCTCCAGCCGTAGCTGCCATTAGAGCTAATGTACCAAAATTGGGTTTCGTTGTGTATTTCGACCTATTAAAGGTATTTTTAATTTAAATCAATGAATTTTTAAAATAGTATGTAAATTTTTAAATAATATAAAATAGCTCGATATATTCATAGATGATTTAATTTTAAAATAAATATTTTCTTTTTTAAATATTTACTCACTTCCAATATTCTTGTAGTTGATTATAAATACCAAGTCTTACAGTGGTGTACGTTGCCTGTCGTAAGAGACCAGCGCTAAGGCCTGAATAAAATTTCAAAATTGACTCTTCTCTGTATATGGAAGCAATTACATTAAAGAGCGAAGTCTTTTCCTTTTGTACTTGGATCCGGGTTTTTATTACATCCATGGGATGAACTACACAGGTTGCTGCCATACTATAATTTTTCATGTATGTATTATATGATTTATATTAAAATTAAACAAATGATAAAATCTCTTAAAATGTAAATAATTAAATAATTAAATTTACACTTATACATACCTTATATTTACACATACTTAGATATATGTTTATTTTTTTTATTTATAATAATACTTAATTTAGAACATATTAAAAAATAATAAAGTATTTAAAATTATGATAATTTACCCTGAAAGACCAGCATTTATAAAAGTAAATACTGGAGGTAGTCGCTCTTTTTTCTTTTCTGACATTTTCAATATTTTTCAAATTCTTGAATAAATGTATATAAATAATATAAGTAATAATTCTTCGATAAAAAATATATTGTTAATATTTCTTGTAATAATATCTATAAAATTGTCATGTAAAAGTTGCAAAAATATAAATCATAATAATTAAAAACACATATGAACACAAACAGTACACAATAGTATTGCATATTAACCTAACAATAAAATGACATATATGATAAAATATTATAAATGTGGTTCATAACCACTTGTATATATTTATATAATAGAATATTAATCTTAAAAATTAAAAGATTGAACATATATATATATATATCGTTTATAAAATTTCTCTATATATTGATAGATTTTCTATCTTGATTAATAGAATCAATTTTTTAAATAAATAAAAAATTGAATAAAAAAGTAATAAGGATATTTTTATAAAATTTTTGAATATTATAAAATATAAAAATATTTTAAAAAATATAAATTTTCTTTTTATGAATCGAAGAAGATAATTTATTTTCATCATTTATCTTCGATTTTAAAATCACTAATTTTTATGTGTCATTTATTTTTAATTCAAAAGTTGGTAATAATATAATTTTATTTTATTCAGGCTCAGTGTAAATTGTGCGAGTTTTTTGATATTTAAAGATTTTAATTAAGTAAAATAAAATTTAAGTAAAATGCATGAAAAATAATTAAATTATTTCTGATATTTTTTTATTTTAAATAATATTTTATTTTCTATCCAATACTCATTGTAACAATTTATTTTTGAATTTAATTTCATCTTTGAAAATCTGTTAAAGTTAAATATACATTTTTCTTAATCTCTATAATTTTTAAATATTTAAAAATTGCTTAAAATTATATATATTTTAAAAATATTTTAAAAATAGTTTATTATTGATTATACGTCAAATTAAAATAAAATTTATTACTCAAATGAATGTAATTAAAATACAATTTATCACGACTTAAATTTCTTAAAATTTTTACTTCTATAAATCTATATATATATATATAATGCTTTCAAAAAAATATATGCTTCTACATTTCGCTTTTCACACATACGAAGTAAATATTATTTTACTAGATTTTCAATTAATAGGATTAAAATTAAACATTGGAATTCTTCTGTTACACATAACAGATTTTTTCCTCGGGAACAAATTTTGCATATCTATGAGTTTTCCGTTTTCTTTTAGGTTTTGTAACGATTGTTTCTTCTTTTTTCTTCGGTGATAGTAAGCCCATTTGTTCTTTGCATTTCTATAATTTGAAATTTAAATTTCAATATAATTCAAGATTAAACTTTTTTATTATATAATTATTACACAATAGAATAATAAATTAGTACAATATTTTATATACCTTTACTGCCTTAAGAATTGGATAAAGCGGTCTCACTCCTTTAGATTCGTTTACAACTTCTTCCGCATAATCGAGAATCTTTTTATTTTCTATATCAATAATCTTTTTCACAATTGGAGTTTCATCTTCGTCAAGTTTCGCTTGTCTTCTTTCTTCTTCTTTCTCGCTCTGATAGAGGAAACGAAAATTGTTTCTAAATTCTGATTATTACGTTAATAAAATAATTTTAATTCCTTTTCTCGTACGGATACTTACAATATATTTTTTTATCTCTTCTCCATATTCTACTTTTTTGTTCCAATTTTTCTTTTGCTCCTCGATTTCCACTTCCCTATCGTATTCATTAGTTTTATACCTTTGCATCATTTCCCACATCTTCATATCTTCATCTTCTTGAAGTTGTTTCAACTTTGTATTTATACGTTCCGTCCGAAAATCTTTTATCTCCTTTAACACTTTTTCATGATTTTCTTTTCGTATCTTTTGATTCTTCTGATAATTTTCCTCTTGCTCTTCTTGAGCTTTTTTTAAAAGTCGTTCCTCATTAGCTAATTTTTCATTCAAAATAATACGATACTTATCGAACTGGTCGTCTGTTTAAAAATAATTAATCGTTAAATATATAATTGAAATTTTTGTTTCATTTATTTATTTATTAAAGAAAAAAATTTAGAAAAATGTAGATTTTAATAAAAGTCAATTACATATTTGTTGGGCGTGATGCTCTTTCTCTTCTTTCTCTTTTAATTTTAGTGATTTATGAAGCTTTTGAATTCGCAATTGAGCATTTCGATAGATCTCAATTGCTCGATCCTCAAATTTGTCTTCGTGTTCAAGCTCGAGATCAAATTGTTTCTTGTCCTCTATAGCTTCTTTGAAAAATTGTTTTAATTTCTCTTTTTTGTTTTGCAACTACAAATTATTAATCTATAAGAAATAATAATAATACAAAAAAAAAATAATACATGTAAATATTAAATTTTTCTCTTCTAACTTGTTGTGCTTCGTATTCCTTTATATCTTGCAAAAATTTATTCATATTTATTTGATCTTGTTTCTCAAGTTCGAATCTTTTTTTTTTCTTTATTTCCTCGATATTTTTAATTTCTTCTATTCTAAAAATTAACAAACAATTATTCTATTGAAGTGAATATATACACATATATAATAAATGGATGTGTGTAAAAATTTACTGTTTCTTTAATTCGGTAGCATAATTTCTTTTTTCCTCCCTCTGCTTTTCCATCTTTTCTTTCGTTTCTTCTTCGTACTTTGCTACGTCTTCTTTCAATTTATTCACATAGGCATCTTCCTCATCTTTATCTATTTTTTTAAGAGTTTCTCGAAATTTTATTTGAGCATCCAATTCTCTAAAGCACTATTGAAATTATAATAAACACAATCCCAAATCTAATCTATTATATATTAATTTCAAAAAGAGAAATTATAAAAGAAGGAACTAAATGGAAATTGAAATATTTTTTATTTAAATTTATTATTTATTCAAAATCATGATCTCCATATTTTTTTATTTAATATTGACATATATTAATTATTTTTATATCATATTATATTATGATATTTCTAATAATAGTAAATACCTCGGAAACCAGAAGACCTTGATTAATTTGTTTGCACATCGGCTTTTTGTAAAAAATGAATCTTTTTGCTTGTTTTATTATTTCTTCCCTTTCCGCTGCTTTTTTCTCAGCAGCTTCCTTTACGAATCTTTCTCTTTCTTCTTTTTCTTTTCGTTCTCTTGCCAATCGTTCCTCTATTCTTCTTCTTTTAAAAATCTATTGAGAAATAATAATTTTATTTTATTATTATATTTACGACTAAACTATTTAAATTATTGTTCAAAAGAGTTTTAATAATTTTTAATATATTACTATTATATGATATATCATGGCAAAGAAAAAAAAATATTTAATATATATTGTATATATATAATTCTAAATAATCGGAATAGATTCTTTAATATTTGTTCAATTTATCTCGATAAATACTTTCATTTTTCTTCTATTTTTATGTAGAATTCTAGTAACTATACTAAAATAAATAAGTATTGAAAATTTATAGTATAAACAATTGCAAATAAAAATAATTAAATAAAAAGTGTCTCTCTTTAAAATTATTTTAAAACATTTTTAAAGATCACAATCCAAATTAAAAAAAATTTAATTATTATTAATTAAAATTTAAAAATTTTTTCGAATAATTTGATTCTCGATCGATATTAAAAACGTAATATGTTTTCAAAAAATAATATATTTTATAGGAATAATATGAAAATTGAATTACGAAAGAAAAATTAAAAAAATATAGCTTAGAATAAAAGTTAAGAAATTCGAAACATACTTCTTTGGTAGATGTTATAGCACTTTCTTTTTTTTTCAATTCTTCTTCAATATCTAATTTCTGTTCGTCCTTTTCTACTTCTTCTTTAATAGTTAATTTTTTTTCTTTTTTATTCTCTTCCTTTTCCAATTCTTCTTTGACATCTAATTTTTTTTCTTCCTTATTCTCTTCTTTTTCCAATTCTTCTTTAACATCTAATTTTTTTTCTTCCTCATTATTCTCTTCCTTTTTCAATTCTTTTTCAGGATTTGATATTTTTTTCTCCTCATTCTCTTCCTTCTTTTTTTCTTTTACAACATTTAATTTTATATTATCCTTTTTCTTGTTTGATGGATTTGCACGAATTGAACGTTGCAAATATTTTGGATTTATTTCTTCTACACCACTTTTTGATATCTGATAAAAAGATTTTTATTATAAGAATTATTTATATAATTTTATATAAAAATCGCTAAAATTAATAAATTATTTTCAATTTAATCAAAGAATTTATTTTATTATTTACTTGAACTAAAAAATAAAAAGTCAGGATAAATAAGAAAATAACTTACTTTAACACTTTTCATGGGTTTTACATTTTGGCGATATAGGCAAGTGGTAGGTTTCACAGTTTCAATTATTTGATTTTGTACCATAATTATAATTTCTTTAATACGGGATAAATATTATTGTTTATATAATAATACAATAAATTGTAAAATAATAAATTGATAAAATTAATATAAGTAATTATTATAAGTGACAAGATATGGTTTCTTTCGTTACTGATATTGCAGATAACTTTAAACAGCGCAATCGTTGTCTTGGAAACTAAATTAAAATCAATCGATAAGATTTAATACTATTACAATTTTGATAAAGATCATATAAAATCATTTATTATTATTATAAAATATAATATAAATATTTTTTTCGTTAAAAATTTAAGTATTTTAAATTGACAAAATAGACATTCAATTACATTAAAATTAATTTCATATAATAAAAAAAAACTTTATGCAAAAATATATAATATGCATGAAATAAATATTATTTAGATATAAAATTTCATAATCATATTCCTTTTTCTTCTGTATATTTAAATTAATAAATAAATTCAATAGATATAAAGATTTTTTAATAATATATTTTAAATATTGATTAATAAGAATATTTATTCATCGATTAATATATTTTTATATTTTATTATTATTTATATTTTTATATGTACATATTTTTATATATACATTATATTTTTTAAAATTGCATATGGTAAAATATTTTTATAAAATATAAAAAAAAAATATGATTCTATTAATGTGAATAAAGTTGTTATATTATTAAATAATAATAAATTAAATAAAGTATGTTATATTATTAAATAATAATTAAAATTTAACATTACAATTTTTAATTAATAATCAAAAAAGAAAATAATATTTCATCAGATATTGGAGACGTGCATCTCTCTAGTATGCATTAATTTTTCATAGGAAATATAGAAAAGGAGAGCAACGAATAAAGAAGGATGGAGATAGAATAAAAATTAGGGAATCAGCGCCATCTTCAGAGTGCCGCAAATGAAACACATATAAATAAAGAGAGCAAATAATAAGAGAAGGACAGAGATAAAGTAGGAATCAACTATCAGCGCCATCTCTTATATATCAGCAACACTTCTTTGAAAAGTAGTAGTAGATATGGAAGATTAAGAATAGACCGCTAGTGCCATCTCTTAAATAGCAAAGGTAGGATAAAGTAGATTAGGAATTAACAACTAGTGCCATCTCTCGAATACTAAAATAAGATAAAGTAGAATGGGAATTGAGAAATAGCGCCATCTCTTTATTATTCCCAGAAACTATTCTTGAAAAAGTGTCGTTAATATTCGAGAGATGGCGCTGATTGTCAATTCTTCCTATTTCTATCCTTTTCCTATTATTTGCTCTCCTTGTTTATGTGTTTCATTTGCGGCACTCTGAAGATGGCGCTGATATCACAATTTTTAATCTATCTCTGTCCTTTTTCTACCATTTCCTCTCTTTCTTTACACATGTTTCATCTGCGGTATTAAAGATGGCGATGATTCTATAATTTTTAACCTACTTTTGTCTTCTTCCCACTAATTGCTCTCTTTATATAAGCTTGATCTTGGCGCGTGATCGGTACGTTAATTGAATTTGCTTTCATTTTTTTTTTAAAATTACTTGTTTATTTTTTCTATTAAACTTGAGTCATATAAAACTTCAAAAATTATCTTTATTGACATTTTTGCTACACATCTTTTTCTTACAATCTTTATTTATTAATTACTTTACTTTTACTTAATTAATTAGTACATAATTCAATTTCTGATATTATTGTTATTTTTAATACATCTACAAATCTTTAAATATATATTAGTAATAAACAACTATTATGTAATTATTGATTAAATTATTATAAGAATTCTTAATTCAAAAATTATCTTAAATTGTAGCTTTCTGGCTACAATTTACTAATTGTTACTAATTAATAATAATAGTAACAATAACAAAAATTACATAATAATTTATCATAGTAAAAAACAATTGTTAGATTAATACAAGAATATTTGATTGATGGCTTTATAGTCTTTAAGTTTTTTAATAAAAAAATAATACTATAGATTAATTATTAGATTACATATATCACATATTCAAAATGAAAAAAAGAATATTGTGATATATATATATATATATATCATTGTGACGTATATATATCTATAGCAATTTTTAGATTTTCTAATTGAAGAATCATCATGAAGATTTAAATTTACATATATATATTGTTCATAAGTTTTTCTTTATATTCCTCACATATTCTACAATATATTTTTTGAAAGCAGGTGATAATTCTTTTATTGCTTCTTGCATATGTTCAAATAAAATTGTTATAATTTCAGAGACTTTATTTTGCATTTGTTCATCAGAAAAAAGTTTTGCACAAAAACTTTGTATCAAACTTTCTTTTATATAACACCATACAAAATGAACTGCATTTGATAAATATTCTGAACAAAATTGACATTGTGTTATTAAAGTAAGAGATATTTCAAATATTAGAATAAAAATATTTGGAGCATTATCCATATATTTCATATCATTTAAAATATTATCAAATTCAGATTCATAATCTTCTCTACTATTATCATTTAAAAATACATTTTTTAATAAATTCAAAAGCAAATCTTTTAATATGAAGAACATATCTTTACTATCACTATTTTCATTATTAAATAAAAATTTCTTTTCACTTGAAAATTGATCATCCTTAATTAATATTTCTACAAATCTCATTGGATTTAACAAATGAACGCCGCAAATTATCAATTTTCCATTTTCAAAGAATATAATAGTTTTTTGTGTGGAAATACTATTCAAATTATTTTTTAATTGTAAATCTACCTTTCTATTGATATAACGTATTACTTCAGCATTTTCGGATATTTTATCTGTATTGTTTGCAGCAGCAATATGTTTTGTACGATTAAATTGTCTACGAAGATGTTTAGAACGCAATGTAGATCTATATTCATCTAAAATTTTACCTTGAGTAGATTTAATGAGATCTTCTGCAAACTGTAAATTTATAACTGAATTACCAAAGAATAATAAATGAGCTGACAGAGATACCATATCTAATATATGAATTTGACCTTCTTTTTGATATCTTTGGTACATACAATATGCCTGATATCCCACACCAAAACCATTAATACCTAAATTACTTAAAACTAATGCATTGTATGCAACTTTAGCTGCATTGCTTATATCACTACCATTTTTTATAAGTTTAGTAAGAATAACATTTCCACTATTGCTTATTAAACCAACTGCACTGCCAACTATACCTAACCATGAACAAAACGAATCCCTATTTGTTAGTCCTATACTTTGTTCATGAGAGCTTCTATCTATTAAATTCTGTATTGATCTACCAGTTGTCCATATACCACTTGCACCAGAAGCTATTGTTGCACCTATAAGTAATATTATGCTCTTATTTATTTTATCATTCTTATTATTATATTTTAAAATAGCAAAAATTAATTTTTGGACAATACATTAATTATATTATTGTTAATATTATATATATATATATTATATAATATATATTATTACACATTTCTTTTAATTAAACTATGTAAACTAAATATAAAATACAATTTTATATAACTTACCTATCACAAATGGTCCAATAGGTGTAAAAACAGATGCTATACCCAAACCAACTCCACATATACTTCCTAATGTAGAAACTATATCTCCAAGATTAAGAATATTTGTTTTAATTCTACATGCAGGTGAGTTTAAAATTTCCAAGCATACTGTTGAATATTCTTCAGTAATTTCATAATTTGAATTAGGATGATAAAATCCATCTTTTGGAAGAACCATTGTACATTTTGGTAAAGTATTATGTTTTATATAATCTCTCCAACTTTTATACACTCTAGCATTTATATCAATATACCATGTTTCTTTCTCTATACAAGTTTCATTTGAATGTCTTATTTTAAAAATTGGTGTTGAATATATTTGAATTGTATCTTTTTTGTCTGAATTAGTTATTTTTTCTTTTTCTGAAGTAGTTTTTTTATCTGAAATAGTTTCTTTTTTTGAAGTTGTTTCTTCATCTAAAGTAGTTTTTTCTTTTTTTGGACTTCTTTCAGTAAATTTTTTTGAATTAGATACTTGAATCAAATAATTTTTAGTACGAAATGATATATTGTAAATTACTCCATAATATATTGTTTTTTCATCCTTACATCCTTCACCATATGTAAGTACTTGTTTATAAATCATATTTATAATATTGTTAGCATCAGATGAATAATGAAGTGCATCAGTAACATCTTTCATTTTTCCATCTTCTCCTATTTCTTTATCTTCAATATATACATCTTTATTTTCTTTATTTTCTGATGGAGGACCAAAAATTGCATATCCAATATTTTGTCTTAAATATTTATATTCATCTGCAGTATACTTTGTCCATTCTGGTAAAAGTTCATAATATTCTTGTTGTTGTAATTTAGCAACTTTTAACATTTCATTCTATAAAATTATAAAATATAATTAATATATAAACAAAGGAACTAAAATTTCATATATATATAATAATTGATATTTACCCAATCAGTATCAGAAATTGACATTTTATTTATTCCAAATTTCTTCCAATATAATAACAATACAAATCT